AGAGAGAGAGAGAGAGAGAGAGAGAGAGAGAGAGAGAGAGAGAGAGAGAGAGAGAGAGAGAGAGAGAGAGAGAGACAGAAGTTTATGGAATCTACCTTGTTTTTTGCCGTTTTGCTGCAAATGCGTTCATCCAACTTCATGCTAACCTGCCAAATAGTATAACACACATGACCACACACACACACACACACACACACACACACACACACACACACACACACACACACACACAAACACAAAGAGAGAGAGAGAGAGAGAGAGGGGATGGGAGGTTTCAACATGGGGAACAACATACGAAAGGACTGGGAGTCTCAGACAGATGGTCCCGAAGAGTTCTCGCTCTTCAATACTCAAATATGGCAGCTGGTTCTACAGAGCCGGTCATTGGGAAAAGGAGGTACTCCAGGACAATCGAGGCTTCAGAGCTGACAAGCAAAGAAACATGGACCCTGCTGCTTAAAATGGTGGGAACAGAAGGTTGATGCAAAGGAGGGGGGTGACGATGATCAGGAGGATAGACAACTCTCCCAGTTTTCTGGTTTCTTTGAGTCATATTTGACAGACCCAGAATGAGGTCTGAGAGGAAAACCAGGGTAGGGCAAGCTGACAGTCAATCCTCCAAAAAAGGAGCAATCAATGCTGTTCAGGGTTCCTTCAGCCAGACGGGAGAAAGCGTGAGAGTGTTCACCATGTATTTCAATATTTGACTGGTCGGGTGGAAAGGAACCGTACTGACGCACCCCAGAATGGAAATGGAGCCAGGACCATAAGGACCTGTTCTGGTTGAAAAAAAAACTTAAAAAAGAAGATAAAAAAGAAGAAGAAAAGAATGGTGTTATGTAATTTCAGAATGAAAAAATGGGGAATTGAGTAAAAAATGAAAAAACAACATACAACAACAAAAACAGACAGGAGGAAAATACTTTGGGAACAACAACAATATCCAAAGTGAAACGGTTTTCACCTTTCTGCAGTCACAGATGCGGGCCCTAGAGTTCGATCCCCAGACCTCACTTTGCCCATGTACAGTATCGAGTCGACACCCGAGAGTTTGAACCCGTGACCTGTGTTTTGGTAGTTGCTTGTCGCCTGTCGTAGGTCTGTGTAGCGGTAGGGGTTCGATCTGTAGGTCTGTCGAGTAGGAGTCCCAGCTTTGTAGAGGTCGTAGCTGTAGGTATTCTGAAACGTCAAGGTCGTAGCTGCTACAGTCCTGAAAGGTCAAGGTCGTAGCTGCTACAGTACCCGAAAGGCCAAATCCACAGACTTCCGAAAGGTCCGGAAGTGGCCTTTCGAATTGTCTCACGTTTAGTCAGAGGCAAGTGGGCAAGTGGTGATCCCAACTGGATTACGTCGGCAGTGCGACTGCATCGAGTTGGCAGTGCAAACCCATGCAGTCAGTGGTACCGGTCCCAGTCAGTCAGAGTCCAGTCAAGCAAGTACCGTGTGGGACTGTGTACACCAAGGGCCTGGGAAAGGGGCAGACCAACGAGTTACAGAAGTATAAATCAAGAGGCAGCGCCCAGCCATTCATTCATTCGCTGCGTAAGCCATGCGGAAGCGCTGCTACAGCGTCTTGTGCGTAGGCGGTCTGCAGGTTGCCCGAAGATGAAGTGGGCTGAAGAGCGAGATTGTAGCCATAGAGGTAGAGACGAGCGGCCATAGCCACCGAAGGTAGAGGTGGCTGATAGCGTGTGCGTGTGTGAGTCTTCGAGTGAGGGTGTGTGGGTGTATTCAGGGTGATCCAGAGTTGAGAAGAGGTGAGGGCGTGCGAACAGTGGTGTTGGACGAGGCGACGAGAGTTGGGGTGTCCAGGCGCTGTTGCACCATAGCCTATTGAAGAGAACTTGCATCTGAACTGTGTTCTTGTTGTCCATATCTCTGAGCTCTGAGTGGGCGCCCTGCGCCAGTGTGAATCGTCACCTGTTTGCATGGATGTGAAGTGGAAGTGAAAGCGAGTCTGATTGCAAAAGCAGTGGATTATCGAGTAACCAAGTCTAAGGAAAAGGAATTAAAGTCCTGATGGAATCCAGCACAAGGATATAACAGTGAGTTATTACCATCGAGGTACGGACGAACGATTTAGATGACGAGTGATGGAATTCATCCTGTGATGTGAAGGTGAAGCAGTACATAACCAAGTTATTTTATCAGTGAAAGGCATCAACAGGAGTATGAACTGGACTCGTTTTGGGGCACATAGATAGTCACAAAAAGATGGAGACATGGTGATGACGTTTGTGAAAAATACTCGGCTCATATCTACGTTCTTCATCCAAAGCTACCGATGCACTACATCTACGGGACATCTACAGGATTACAAGAGACACGCAGGCAGGTGATTCTGGATCAGGAGAATGTTTTTTCCGGATGGATTGACATATTTTCCCATAGAAGAGACCAGGTACATATACGCACGTTGTCAGATAAAGCAACCACAGAGAGAAAAAGTCTTGACTTGGGAGGATTCCTATGCAATGACTTGCTGTTTTCTGGTTGCCTGTAGACTCTCTCTGTCGAGGCTGTACTTTAGGTAGGACAGATTCGTAATTTTGTTTGGTTGAGAGCTAACCGAGAGACCTACCTGTGGGGGAAAATCATTAGGGACATATCTGCAAATACGGGAAAATGCAGGCCCGGTACTAACAGGATTTCCCTACAGCTACCCTAACTGCGTGTAGCAGGCCCGGGCTACCCCTAGGACAGACAGACCCTAAGGCCCTATTCTGAATAGACGGTCCTATAGCCTATAGCCGGGTGCGGTAGAGGCCGAGAGGCCGAAACAGAAACAGAAACGGTACTGGTCGGTCAGTCAGTCCGGTCCAGGTCGAGTCTAGGCTAGTGGTAGTCTATAGATAGATTGGGCACATCGGTTCAGGGCTTTTGGCAGTTGGTACCGAGTACATCGCTCCTGTACTATGCGTGAACCGGAAGTGGTGACGGCTCACCGTGGAAGCAGACCTCGATAACCCAGACCTCTGTCAGCCCCTGCGTGCTGGCAGAGTACAGCGCAGGTCCCAGCTATGGCCGGCGCTCAGAAGGTCTGGCTATGCCTGTCTCCTTCCACGGTGAGCCGTCACCACTTCCGGTTCACGCGTGGCACAGCAGCGATGTACTCGGTACCAACTGCCAAAAGCCCTGAACCGATGTGCCCAATCTATATCTATAGACTACCACTAGCCTAGACTCGACCTAGACCGGACTGACTGACCGACCGGTACCGTTTCTGTTTCGGCCTCTGCCGCACCCGGCTATAGGCTATAGGACCGTCTATTCAGAATAGGCCCTTAGGGCCTGTCTGTCCTAGGGGTAGCCCGGGCCTGCTATTCGCAGTTAGGGTAGCTGTAGGGAAATCCTGTTAGTACCGGGCCTGCACTTTCCCGTATTTGCAGATATGTCCCTCATGATTTTCCCCCACAGGTAGGTCTCTCGGTTAGCCCTCAGCCAAACAAAATTACGAATCTGTCCTACCTGAAGTACAGCCTCGACAGAGAGAGGCTACAGGCAACCACAAAACAGCAAGTCATTGCAGACCTACCCTCCCCCCGGAGCGAGGACCTCCGAGCTAGGGGCGTAGGCGTGCAGAGCGCCGAAGGGATACCCCCTTCTGTGCTGCCTCATATTTGAGGATTACAGACTTGGTCGTCTTCAGAAGTTCCTTGCGAGTAAACCAGCGGTCCTCAGTATGTGTGTGGCAGACTGCATAGCCACACGGGCCCTGTAGGACCCGTCCCGGACATTCAGCCTTAAAGCCCAAAACTTAGGAGCTACAGGCCCCGGTCGTTTCAGCCTGAAAACTGAAAAACGAGGGCCTGCAGGCCCTACTCCGTTTCAGCCTATTTCTGGGTCTTTCAGACCCAGAGTTTTTCCAGCCTGAAACGGAGGGCTATTCTTAGGCCGTGGGCTATTTTTAGGCCCTCATTTGTTTCGACCTGCCCTAAGATTCAGGCACGAAAACTGGGTTTCGGAACAGGCTATTTCTGGCCTGTTCCCAC